TTTGCCAATGCCATACAAAGAAATATAAAAAACAACAACAATCCAACAAGCAAGAAGAACGTGTGCCATGTCGCTCACAGGTCCATTTCCCTATATATATGTATGTATGTATGTATGTGCCTACCTTTCGTACATATAACCGAGTTGTCCTCAACACGTTATCAAAGGGCAAAGAAACCACATAATTTCTTAATACCTGCATGCACACACACACACACACACACACACACACACACACACACACACACACACAAACAAACAAATACCTGCATGCACACACACAAACACGGAAAAGAAATATTTTTGCACGTTTTCAGTTTTATCGCATAAAAAACAAAACAACAACAACAAGAATGAAAACAAAAAAAACAAAAAAAAGGAAAAAAAGAAAATGGGCGATGACAGAAGCAAAAAAAGAATTCGGCGATTTACGCATGTATCGTTTGACAAAGCACAGATTTCCTCCCCACTCTCATCCCCTCCCAAAAAAGAAGAGCAACAACAAAAATAAATTAAATAAAAAAAAAAAATGGGTTTTTGAGGAAACAGAAAACAATCAAAGACAAGTAGGCATAGATTATTTGTCCGTAGCTGACCCTATTCCTACCAATATATGCAGGATTTTCATATAAATAAATAAATATTGAATATTGACCGCACAATGGAGCATGATTACTTGACAACACCATATATGGTCGATATCGTTCCAAAGCAGATTACAACAATACCGGCAAAGAGCAGTAAATATGTGAAGGTGTAAAGAAAAAAACCGGTTTCTGCATAAGTGAAGCCGCCGCTGTAAATGAAAAAGAACGCAGGAAATACAAAGGCGATAAATCCACCCGTCAGTGAGCCAAGCAGGCCAAATACAATGTTCACGTTCGGAATAAAAAGACCGGCAATAAGTGCAACAAGGCACACACCTGAACAAAGTACCGCATTCTTCCACCATGCAACGGTGTCCAGTTTCCAGCCCAAAAGATGATGAAGCGAATCACGGCACGGAAGAATGTGGAGAGAAAAGGCCACACAAAGCTTTATGACAATGCCAATATACGCGACAAACATCATCGCATCCCTCATTGGCTTGAACATCTTCAAAATAGATGAGGTAACATCCGAGCCAAAGTCCGCGTAACCAAAGAAACCGGTAAGCCAATAAAGAACGGTGCAAAGAAACATACTGATTGCTGTCTCCAAAGTCATTCGAAATGCAGTACTCTTCGGCTTCATCTCGTTCCATACCTCAAACATGTTGCTTTGGCATAGGTATGCAAACATGAGCTTCCCAAGTCCTCGAATCCCCTCATTTCCACCCCTGAAAAGAACAAGATCGTCACGAAGCCCATGTTTTAAACCATTTCGCACACTGTGGAGAATGCCGACAATGACAAAGTAGATAATAAACGAAACCGCAAAAAATGACACATATCGTACTGAGTTGATACGCTTCGGAAGCGACAATGGAAGCATAAACAAGAAAAAAACAATGCAATTGACAACGCGAACAAAACTTTTTGTTCGCCAGTACCCAGTCACAGAATCATCGCTAAGAAATGCTTCAATAACATCGCCAACTGAGATAACATACGCGACACATGCACCAAAGCACTTTACAAACATGACTACCGCAGTGAAAATATCACCGCCACGCCCAAAAAGCTGACGAGCCATTCCTTCATAACTGCGAATGCCGGTCTTTAGCGACGTCACTGCCAAAAGATACATGGAAAAAACGGTGAGTAGGTAGATGGCAATTAAATAGATGGTACCCGCCACAATACCCGAGGAGTTAAATGCGGAGGCAAGGGCGAGAATTCCAGCACCAAGACTGCTTCCAGCAAGATTACAAACACCAGAGAGAATACCGCCATCAGGAATCAAGCGCCTTGTCGTCTTTACAATGCAGTTCGGTTCCTTTGGATTCTCACTGGTCTCTTGGATCCTGGAATTCAAATCTCCATCTTTTTCGTACGCCCCGTGATTAGCTTGTGGAAGATATTCAACTTTGTCGGCCATTTTTGGAATATCCTAAACCCGGCAGGGAAATCGGCTTCACGTAGAGTACAAAAAAAAAAAAAAAAACAAAAAAAAAAAGTAAACCATAAGACACGATTAATAGCAAAATGCATGCGCATACACAGAAACAGAATATAACAACAATAATGGCCCTCCCCATGGCACGCCGACACCCACTTCGCCAGTGAATTACACAGCCCGAAGAGAAAACTAAAAAAAGAAAAAAAGGTGAAATTCCGACATGTATTATTTAAAGGGAAAATACCAAACGACAATCCGCATCGCATGTGTTTCCTGGACACCAAAACACCATGACGCAATCTCTCTAAAGAGAATAGCAATTGAAACAACAGACTCCTCCGTTTCTCGCATTCTCTTCATTATCGACAACACACGCCTTACAAGCATTTTTCCCACAGAGGCAGCATAGAACGTCACATTCCTTGCACACCCAACACCTGCAAACGCTACAGTTCCCATTTGTTGTCAACCCACAAAGTACACATTTTGTACCCCCATTTGTTACCTGATCCCGGTCGCTAAATGCAGCCGCTATCGCTCGGGTTATTGAACGCTCGTCGTCCAACACATGCAATGAAATCGAACCATACTCACTTTTTGGCAAAGGAAGGCCACTTAGGTAAACAGTGGCGGTACGATTTAATGTGTCGATGTGGATAAACGGCGCATTTTCATGCTTTTCTGCATTATTCCTTAACACAGTGAGTTTCCTGGGGAAAAACAACAGTTCTCGCTCCAACTGAAGCACCCCACGTGCAATTTTCTCCAGTGTATGGCAAGAGCATCGAAAAGGGCCATGGTACTTGCAGGGAAGCCATAGTCGCTGTCCAATAAGGTGATCACACGGTCGGTTCACTTCGCTAAGGGAGAGAATATGGCATTCATTTATCACACCAACCACACGTGGTGCAAAGAAGAATGCAAGCCCAGGAAACATGTCCTCATCCAGCGTATCAAAGGCTATCGGCCTGTATAATCGCACACAGGTGTTCCAGCCACCGCAAGAAAGGTACACGCGACAGGTTTCATCTCTTTCATCGCCCTCTTCCCTTTCTCGCTTTCTGCTCATTCATTCATACGCCAAAAAAGGAAAGGCGATTTACTCTCCCAAGGCAAATTAAAACGCATATGAAAAGGGAGAGAAACTCACAAAAGCAACAAAAACATAAACAACAACAGTAAGAGATTTTATCGTGAGACAATCAAACACGTTGCAAGGGCACACACACACACACACAGAGAGAGAGAGAGGGAGGGACACTCCATCCTCCACGAGTAACAAATACCCCAAAATGATTCAACATATATATATATATATAGATCTAAAAGCACCCATTTACAAATTCGTTAGCACTCACATACAAAAGTAACAACAACAAAAACAACAAAAATGCAGCGTTAAAACTGTGCAAAAAGCCAATTGAGCAAAGCCTCGCGATCTTCTGCATCCAAGATTCGATACAACCGCACCAGTTGAATCAACCTTGTCAAGTTATGTATTACAAGAAGTGTTTTACTATTCATCTCTTGCACTGTAAGAAGATGATGGATATATGCACGCATATGCCGCTTACACGTGTAACAATTGCAGTCTGGTGAAAGAGGTCGAATATCTTTTGTGAAGCAGTCATCATTCAAGTCTATTTGTGTTTCATAACGTGCAGGAGACACACCACTTACTGGATTGAAGTCAAACACCAGGCCTATTCCTTTCTCCGCCAATATCCATGGAATTGCACTCTCAATAAAACATACATTGTATTTTAAACAAATCAGTAAAGATGGTAAGGAAATGGCAGTACTCATAACCTGCCCTTTATTGATAGCCTCCTTTACATGGTATGTGTATTGTTGTAAAGTCTCATTTTGACAAAGTTCCTCCAAAAAAACAAACTCGCCATTATTCTCCGCAGCACATAAGGGTTTCATTAACTTACAATTGCCATTGCCTTGAAGGGAGTCCGCAGATGTTGCCCACTTTGCCGAACGGGTCATTGCTGTCCGTCGGCGCTTTTTTTGAGGCTCATTTATTGAAACAGAGTCATAGGGAGGAATGGCTATTTCCGGGCGAAGTGGCAAAACCATTTCCTTCCATTTATCCATACCCAATGAAATTCGACCCTTTTCATGATTCGCACACAATCCTGCGTCTGTTGCAGGAGCGCTAGCGTGCATGCCAATATGAGGACTTCGCACAGTGAGGATGGTCCTAAATTCCCCCAGCCCACAAAATTCGGCAAAACCCTGATTGGCTTTTTTGCAAGGATCCACAAATTCGCTTGCGTCGAAGATGGACACACTGATCACCCGTTCTTCCTCGTTAAGAATTGCTCGTGCCTGATCGGGCGTCAGACAAGGAATACCGCCCCGTTTGCAAGGAACCACCAAAATGGGGTATTCCTTGGCCATTAACCGCTTTAATCACTTGCCCCACAGAATGAGATGAAGACACGCATCAAACACCCCATACACGCACAAAAAAAAAATAAAAAATAAAAAAAAAAAAATAAATAAAATAAAATCAAAAGAAATCCAAAGAAAAGCGGAAAAAAGCCTTTTTTTTTTTACTCGGGGCTTCCACCATCCTACATGATGTAAGAGGAGATCATTTCAGGCACCTCGCCATTCGCGTCTACTGGCACAGCGCCGCCAGCCAACATAACCATTATCGTGCACCTGCGTAAAACTCAAAAAGAAACCCAACGACGAATAATTAGCCTCCTCACAGATCTGCTTAAGCCGCCGTCCTCACTCACATCACTTCTATTCGCTTAAAAACAGATATATAGGTGCCATTACATAAACAAGTGCACAAATAAACTGAGTGATAACGATAAAAGTGTAGAAATAATAATAATAATAACGATAATAACAAGGAGGAAAAGAGAACAACGCACAATATCTATCTATCCGTCTCTCTCCTTACCTATATAGTCATATCAAAAAAAAAAAAAAAAAAGTTATTGCTCTGATCCAAAGACGCTATCCCAATCTACGGGAATCTTTTTCTTATTCATCCTCACCTCAGTTTCATATGAACTTCGCGAGGGATCCATTTTACTCCTTCTGTCAAACCCACTCATTGAAGGCAGTGTAGAATGTGAATTCCCGTTGTTTGAAGGCGAAAAGGAATGCAACGACGCCTCTATCGTTCGATAAGGGCCACTGTATTGAGTGTCTTCTGCACTTTGTGCTACGGATAACCTCGAATAATTCTCCGAAGCTTGACCCACATCCCCAATCCTCATCCATTCCTGCTGTCGAAGCCAATTTCTTTGCACGTGACTAAAAATGGAACTTTCCTTCGATGCGTTGGATGAGAAACGATCTGGTGCGACACCAGGGCTTTGACTTTCCCGTTTTTCCTCGTATGATCGAGCTCGGGAAAGCGCAAAATCGGTGATTGCCCTATTAATGCGTGCGTCCGCAGCTGCACTTCTATTAGCCCTGGCTTTCATTCCGGCAGACTGCGGCCGCAATACTACCGGGGTCTTTAATTGCAACTTCTCCATTCTTCGCCGTCGTTCAGCCGCAACTTTCATGTAATGTGAGCTAATATACTGGTGCTGAGAAAATAACTCAAAAAACGCGTCAGTTTGTTCCACCTCAATGTTTAGCCGCATGCGGTCCTCTTTTCGCACTAATTCACGAATCTGAATACGTGTTTTCTGTAATTTCTTCTCCAACAACCGTTGCTCCTCCTGCCTCTTCTTGCCCCTAAGATAATCCATGGAGCTTAGCCATTGCGTCCATGACTTTTCATCTGTGATCCGTTGAGCATCCAGAGCCCGCGCCTCTCTTCGCTCTGCCCCACAGGCAAGTTCACGCTCATATTCCAAAGAAGCGCGCCGCTCCTCCAATAGTTGTCGATACAAGCGAATGCGTACAAGCTCACCTCGGACGTGACGTTGAATACAAATAGCGGCTCTACGGCGCAATTCTTCTATACGCCTCGCCTCTTCAACTCGTCGACGCTCATCTTCAATTGCTTTCCGACGACGCTCTCGCTCTGCAGTTTCAATTGTCTCTTGGTAAACTCGACTTTCGGCTTCTAATTCTTTTATGAGTTTCCACGACGTGTCTTCCTCGAGCTCGTATGAATGTCGAAGGTCCGCTTCCTGCAAATGCATATCTTTTGACGCCTTATCCAAGTTTTTCCGCGCGATTTCGACCTTGTGGAACAGTAAAAAGATGTCATATACCCCGCGCCGCGTTAAGTATCCCCGAGCAATTCGCTGAATAATCAGTGATGTACAAAGCAAATGCCGGTCCCTCAACCTTTCTAGCAATTTAAAACCCTCTGCCTTAAGAAAAACCTTAGTTTTGCCTATTTGAGCCAGAGAAGGCATGCGTATTTGAGCCATTTGGAGTACATGCTGTATAAATTCCTTTTCGTCTTTCGTAACCACAGATGTACACATTCGATAATTCCGGCAGAACAAAGCTCGTGGAATACGTACTGGATATCCGGCTTTTCGAAGCTTCACTGTGGCAAGAACACCACTTGACTCCAGTTGTCCCATGACTTCCCTACCGTAAAACATTCTGGGTTTTTTATCAGGATGGGGCTTAATACACCGAATCCAATGTGGATTCGTCTCGCCAATTAAATCCATAAGAACTCTCAGCTGATTACAAAAAAAACCACCCACAGTAAAAGCTTTACCTCCCTTTTTCCGCTCCGATAAGGGGATGGGTGCTGGAAGGCAGCTTGCAATTACGCGATCACCGCTAGCTCGTACAATGGACTTAATGGAATCTTTAAGAGTATCTCTATTTTTTTCAACCCAACCAAATACGTTGTACGTGACATCCGCTGCATAGTGACGCACACAAAAAGTTTCCCCAGAGACACGTTCCTTCTTAAAAAAGGAGTTGGATTCATGAGTATGCACCACTTTTTCTAAAAATCCAAGGTCCGTTCCTCCTCCAAACCAACAACATTCATCAAGAAGAGGAAAAATGCCGCCCTGTGCGGTAAGCAGTTTTAAACAGCCTGTATTATCAGTAAACTTAATATCTGTCACATCCACCCCCTCCATTCTACATTCGTCCATATCACGCTTAAATATGTGCAGGTTATAATGATACTGAAGCTGCTCATTCGTCATATTGATACAAAGCTGTTCAAAGGAGTTCTTATTAAAGTTCTCAAATCCAAAAATATCCAGCAAACCAATCCAATTACCATCGTTTTCCACATTACACAAGTCATTGCAGCGGTCAACAATCCAGCCAAAAACACCATCATACAAATGTTTACACATGGCATCACGGATGTCGACAGCTGCCACAACGTCGTTTTTCTTTAAAGCAAACTCATTGTCGGGAAGTGCACGAGTACTAGTCAGAAGTTCATGTACAAGATCATCTTCACATACATCAAGCAATTGGACAGCCTTTTTGGTATATTTCATGGTTTTTGGATCAATAGAACAGCCATCTTCTTCTGGAAGAAACCGAACATTAAGTAATGTCATTACAGCTGCTGTCACACGCCAGACAGAGATAAGCTCGACATCTGTCATCCCAACAATAGACATGGCCCGACAAACGTCATTAAAGTCTTTTTCAGAGTTATACTCACTATTATTCATTGTCCCCCCTGAAGAAAGGGACGTATATTGTTTCTCATGCTCAAGACCAAGGACACGTGCCATACTCCCTTGAGCACGGGCCAATAGATAAAATGAGTGGAATACGCGCTCGCCCTGAGCAGCAGATACAACACGACTTTTTTCAAGAAGATACTTTATGTTTTCAGCGCCAACAACAACGTGTTTGGCGTTAAATTTTACTTTCATGAATTTGCCAAACCGAGAGCTATTGTCGTTCTTCACAGTTTTCGCATTTCCAAAGCACTCCAAAATAGGCGAACATGCAACCAACTTTTCACCAACACCCCGGGCAGCTTCTTGTTCTAATTTGCTTCCATTCAGTGATGAAACAACGCCCAAATAATTTAGAACTATTTTTGTTGCTTCTGTTTTCCCAGCTCCAGATTCACCGGAAACGATAATGCATTGGTTTTCCTGACTGTCCACCATCTCATAGTAAGTGACATGTGCTTGAGCCCATGTGTGTGGCAATAAATTTGAGGGCATACCAGAAACACTCAAACTACGACCCGCATTTAAATATTTTTGCATTTCACTGTCCTTATACCATGGGATAGCAAAAGTAAATGGATTTAGCGCCACCACTATTGCACCGATATTGGTATAGACCACGTCATTCATGTAACGCATATAAAGGCATCTCAATAAAGTTGTTTCGTGAAGAACGGTAAGATCAAGTAAGTCGTCTGGGGTGTCATTGAGGGATTCTCCATAAAGTGGTTCTACGTCTTCAGGATTTTTTATTGTGATTATTTCGTTTTGAGTGGCTTCTCTTCTCAATGAATCCTTTGTGACGCAAACAATTCCTCCTTTAACGATACTTTCAACTACTCCACAAAGCCAGGAGTGTTCTGGATGGCGAAAAAAAACATGGTCTCCAGCCTTGAGCGCGTTCATTTGCTTAAAAAAAAAAAAATAGCGACACTAATAATAATAATGGTAACAATATTAATAATAATAATTATTATTATTATTATTATTATAAAACACAAAACAAAAAAGACACATGTAAAGGGAAGAACAAATATTTATTCGCCTTGCAAACAAAAGAAAGTAATAAATAAATAAATAAATAAATAAGAGGATTTAATAAACAAAAAGATGAGGAGTCGCATCAATCACCCAACCAAAAAAATAAAATAAAATAAAATAAAATAAAAAAAATAAAAAAATAAATAGTAATAATAATATTATTATTATTATCATTATTATTATTGATAACGATAAATAAATAAATAAAAAGGCAGTATTTTTATTTCTTTCCTTCTCGCTCTCTCTCCCTCTCTCTTTCGCATTTATGTAGAAGAGTTCCCACTTTTACCCAAAAGAAATAACAGGCATGTCAACCCAATTGGACTTCTACCAATTAAACTCTGTTCTATGAACAACTCACACTTCTGTTTATTCTCTTTTCTTCTCTGTCTCTATGTCCATAATAATAATTACTTTTACTCCTCAATCTCTCGTGTCCTTTTCCTTTCTTCAAAGGCTGCCTGCTTCAATAGTTTCACTCCCTCCTCAAGAGAAATGGCCTGAATCCGACTTGTCTTGTTATGAAAGAACACGCCAAGAACGCGATCTGCGGCTTCAAGCATTTCCGTCTTGAAGGTTGAAGTGATAAATTGGCAATTTTCAGAGTCTTTCAAGATAAGTTTTGCGACTGAAGAACGGTATTCTGCATCTAGTGCAGCATCAATTTCATCAAATAGATAAAACGGTGCCGGATCACAGCGCTGAATGGCAAAGATTAATGCAAGGGCAACAAGTGATTTTTGTCCACCACTTAACTGCCCAAGGTCTGTTATGGCGTTACCAAGTCCAAAAGAAACGCAAATTCTAGCACCAATATATGGATCTTCTCCTGCATTTTTCTTGGCTGCTGATCGAACAAGTTGTAATTCCCCATGGCAATCCTCAGTAGCTACAATTTCTTTAAAAACCACCTCAAATTGATACTGCATCTGTTTAAATGTTCGCTCAACCGCCTCATCTTTTTTCTTGTCAAGATGTTCCATTAGGTCGTGAATACTTTTTAATTCATTTTGAAGAATTTCCTTTTGTCCAACCAATTCATTTTTGGTCTCCATAAGAGATGAATATTGATCCACTGCTTTCCGGTTCACATGTGAATACTTCTTAAGCTTCTCATTATTTTCTTTTAGACGATACATTAACATTCCGAGAGACTGTCCAGAATATTTACTTGCATCTTTGGGAACAATACCCAACTTCCGTATCTTTTCCATGGCATCATCGCGGCGCTGTACAAGAAGTGTCCGCTGAATCTGCTTTTTTTCATCATTGTCTCTTCGTTCCTGAACAGCCCTGGCTGAAGCAAATTGTTTGTTTTTCAAGACTTCCAGCTTCTCTTCACTTGCCATCTTCTCGTTTGTCGTTTCAGCAATTGATTGTCGAACAGTCTCAATTCGCGCAGAAACTAAAGAAATTTCCGCATCCACATTTCCTTGTTCCCTTGTCAAAGTCTGATTGTTTGTATTTACCCAAAGAAGTTCACGAATACGATCACGCGCAATATTCAACCGACGCGTTATATTTTGAAGTGTATCTTCCAATAACTGAACCTCGGTGGTTATCTGAACACGTTGTAGCTGAAGCGCCGAGAGATCCTCTCGAGTTTTATCCACTTCCGTAATGACAGACTCTAGATGACTCTCTTCCTTTTCCCCCCATGATGACACAAAATCTTCTTTTGCCTCCTGTTGCAAAAGTTCCAGAGAACTGTTTGCATCAGCCATACCCTTTTCCAAAGATTTTCTTGTCTCCAATAATTGTTCCCGATGCTTCTCCAATCTTACTTTCCGCTCGTCATGAAGACGAGCATCTCGAAGATCTGCATCTGCGTCATTCTCTGCCCTGGAGGCCTCTCCTCTTAATGATTCAATCTCGTTCATGGCGTCGGTTATCTTCTGTTCAACAACAGCCACTTCTTGACAAAGCTTTTCAAGTAGAGTCTTCTCATTTGCCAGTCTTTCAGACAGTTTCTTTTCATTATTGAAGGATAATAGTCTCGAATTGCGAGATTCCAAGTATCCACCTGTGATGCCGCCCTTGCGGCTGATTTGATCCCCTTCCATTGTCACAGCATCACAATTATATTCTTTCACAAACTTGGAACCTTCCTCCATTGACGATACAATCGCCGTTTTTCCAAATACCTCAGCAACGACTCCCTTAAATCTCGGATTACAAGAAATATGCTCCATGAGAGAACTACAGCCTTCTTTTCCATCAAATCGGATTGGTTCACTTTTGCATGTATCCAGTGGGAAAAAAGAAATACGTCCTGGTTTCTTCTTTAAATTGATTTGATCGAGAATAAGGGCGCCCACATCAAAGGAATCAATAACAACATTAAAAAGTGCATTACCCGCAGTCACCTCAACGGCCGTTTCGTATCCTTTTCCAACATCAATTAGCTCAATTAATTGGCCATGAACAGCGTTGGTGAGTTTTTCATCGGCAAGTTCGTGTAACACTTCCCTAAGTGATTGTATTCCCTGACGAGTATCATGTCGAACGGCACGCTCAAGTTGATGTCGTGAACGACTCCATTCGTCCTGTAATCTTTGAACAATAATTTCTTGTTCATTGACCTTTTGCCACAAACTTCTTCGCTCCATATTTAGAGTATTTCGCACAGTTATTGCTCTACCCCTGCGAGTTTCATGATCGGCCAATTTTGTTTCCACCTTCTTTGTCGCAGCCTCTTTTTCCTTCTGATTCTTATCTTCTTCGTGGATACGATTATCAATATCCTCTATGCTCTTCTTTATGCGAGTAATCTCCTTTCTGTGAGTCTCTATGGTATTTCTGTTTCGCTCTATTTCTCCAGCTAACCATACGTCACGTTCCTTTTTATTCTTAAAAAGCTTCCTCCTCCCTCTTTTAGCAAGGAGAGCTTCCAGCTTCTTTTCCAAACTGGCCAATTCATTACTTTTGTGATCTGTTGTTCTCTGGTGTTGATTCAGGTTGTTTCTGCTTAACTCCAAATCCTTTTTCACTTTTTCTGCATTTTTTTCCAAATTCTCGACTTCTTTTTGAAGAGCTAGTCTTTCCCTTTCATTACGGCTTATGGAGTTCTTAGCATCGACAACATCCAATTGGGCAATGGCTTTCTTACTATTCAGTTTCGTTGCCTCTCTTTCCAGCGTCTGCATTTCACCTTCCAAATGAGCAATGCGTTGCGCGCAATTACGAATATTTTTCTCTTCTATTTCAATAGAACTATTCGTATTGTTTTCAGCATCTCGTTGTTCATTTAAAGAAGAAACGTATTTACTTCGTTCTTCATCCAACTTCTGTAGGCACTCTTTGGCATTCGCCAATTCCAAGAAAAAGATGGAGTATTCGACACATTTTCTCTCCCTCTCAATTTCTTGAAGAGACTTTAATTCAGCGGTTTCAGCCTCAAGTTCTGTCAATCTTTTTTGTAACTGGTCAATAGAATCCTCTATTTTCCTATATTTGCCTGAGGTTTCTTCCAAAATTTCCTCACTTTCTTTTCGTCTAGACTCATAGACTCTTGTGCCAGCGACATCTTTGATAAGTTGGCATCTTTCCTCATCACTCATATTGGCCATGTTGACAATCTTACCCTGCTCCACAATATAGTATGGATTGCTTGAAGAAAATCCTGCACTTTCCAGCAGTTGCCTTACCTCTGTTGCTGTAAACCGACGATCATTTACTCGAAATTCGTCCTGTTTCAATCCCAAAGTACGTCGTATTCGTACTTCTTTCTCTTCAGCTCGACCAGGGATGATAAGACGGCCATCTGAGTTATCAAAAATAATTTCAACAAAAATGGACAAGGCCGGTCTTCCAGAACCCGCATGAAAAAGTTCCTTTCTTTCAGCAGCCGTTAAAGTAGTGTACTTTTCACTCAAAACAAACTGAACGGCGGCAAAAAAGTTTGATTTGCCGGAGCCATTCTTCCCCACAATAACGTTATTCTTTGGTGAAAGGTCCACTTGAAACGATTGATCCCGGTAGGAACGAAATCCCGAAATCAAAATGTTTTTTATGTGCATTTTCACCAGCCTTCGAGAGAGAAAAAAATACAAGCAAAAGGGAAAGTAGAGAGAAAATTTAAAGGAAACAAGCTTCACAGACAGGGATTTACTTTATGGGACGAAATAAAAACTTGGTAATAAAAAATAACCTCCCTCTTGAACGGCGGCGTCTCTTTTTGGAGCGATGACCATGTCAGAACCGTTCTGCTTAGGACATTTTCAAAAGCTCCCGTTAAAAAGAGTCTTGACAGCCTAAATGCGCCCCGAAAATCGCAAAAAGGCCCGCAAACCAAAATGCAAATCCCTGCTCGTTTTCCCGGCTCTAAATTCCCCTGCGAAAACGAAAACATAAACAACACACTGGTGGCCCGGCATGGGCGCCAAAAACCCAATAGGAATGGAAAAAAGAAAAGAGAAGCATGCGCTCGCCGCTTGCCGCCGAACGCGGCGGAGGCGAGGGGCGGGGCGACGCCTTCAGGCGGAGACGGCGATCACGCGAGTGCTTATCGTCTCCGACTTCCCCTTGGGTTGGCGTTCTGGGGCGTCTTCGCTCTCAAAAAAGCAAAGCTTTCCGTCGCGCGATTGCCTTTTATCAGGGCTTCCACTTTATACTTCGTTTCGTTCCCTTGATTACTCTGTGTGTCGACCTGTCCGGATTCGTTTTGCTTGTTCATCTCAAAAAGTGCTATTGACCCAGAGATTTATCCCTTGAAAGGACGAAATTTCACGTTGGTCTGCGGGATTTACATCCATTTAGCATGCTCTGAAAAGCGTGACGGCGAGAGTGCCACTAACAAGAAGTATTGTTCTTTTATTTTTTGATTGGCCGTTGGGGAACTTTACCTTTCGCGTTAACTGTTTGGGAAGGTTGGGAAGTGATAAGGATCTTTGCGGAGCACATTTATTATTTTTTTTTTGATGCCTTTTATATAGCCGACTATGTGTCATTTCTACTTATTTGGCTGCATGGAAGGCATCTACTTTAAATAAACGTTCTTTTTGAACTTGGGGGGAGGTCATTTTTTATTTATCTTTCATGGACATACTTTGCCCTATATAAAAAGAGATATGTGGATATATATGCTTTATATGGCGTTATGTGTCGATGGGGTTGTAGCTTTTATTCACTTTTTTGTAAAAAAACGAAAAAAAAAAGAAAACATTTTACTTAGATATTTTTTCAATCCTTTTTAACAGTCCCATATCCGATTAGTATGTTAATGAATGTTGACCCTTGAGTTTTTCTTTGTGGTACCATTTTTTTTTTTTTTTTGGAGTATATTTTTGACCATGCCTCTTTTATTCTGCCAATGGACCTGATGAAGAATGCTGCGCACAATGGATCCTTTTTTCTTATTTGGAGAGTAAATGGGGCACTGTTTGTCACAATTTAGCGATACTCTAGCTTTCTTCACGCGACTGGTTAAGGGGCTGTGATCAATATAAATGTACGAAACTGTGAAGAACGGGGCTATATTGGTTTTAATAAATTTTAGGGAAGCGCAATTATGGCATAGTTGGGCCTTTCAAATGCTCGAGGATGTTTCGCCGATGAGTTGGTGATGATGTGAATTCATGCGAATCACGCTAATTATGGTTGGTTATTTTTTTAATTATTACTTTGTTTTAGGATCTTTTTGTTGCGGTTTTGACAAACTTTTTTTTTGTGAGAATGTTTGACACGACAGTGTTGAGATGAGGCATTTTCATTTTTTGCTTTTGTCGCATTTATGACAATTATTGGCTGTAAAAATGAGGAACAAGAACATAAGCTTGAAAAAGGACATGATTTTTTTGTTGATATTTCCTTAATGGAAGAATATTGTTGACAAAATATTTTAATGCGCATTGAGAGTGAAATTATTGCTTCTTTGTTTTTTTTTCTCACTCTACTTCTCTACTTTTGAAGGATGTTATGAAAAGAGGGATATAGAGACTTTGTCTAGGGCTAAACGGAATGTACTAATTACATGGTGAGATGTTGCTGACGTTGCTCACGGGAATATGTTGAGGTAACGGAAGGCAGCATTTGCCTCCACTTTTTTTGTGTGGTTGTGCTGTTCTTAGGTTTGTTTTTTCTGATTCGTATTTGTCTCTCTCTTTTTTTATTTCCTTGTTTCCCCTTGAATGACATGTCGTCTTCACTTTTTCCCCCATTGTGGTGGTGCACTAGTGGTGGTGGGGGAAACAGAAAGAAAGTACATGCCGGACATCACGACGCCGTTTCTTCTGACGGTGCGAGGCGGTGATCGCATGCGTCTGCGAGGGAAACACCACGAGCCGCAGTCCCTTTCTTTTTTCACCGCACTGACCGACGTAGTATTCACACGGCGCCTTGCAGCGACCACATCGGCCCCAGTGACTGTGTGACTTGTTTCGCACTGCGACACGGTGGGCGAGGAAAAAATCAACGGTCGCTGCTTTACAATCGCCACTCATTCTTTTGCCACACCAGCAGCTGCCAATTTATCCGAAGAGAGGGAGGTGGAGGAGGAGGAGGCGGCCGTGGTGGTGCTTCGCTCACCGATTCTATTGACCCCGTCGGGTCCTGTTAACTCGCTGGAGGTGCGGTGCACAGAGACGAAGCGCGGGGGCCCATCACGGGGCCACACCACCGCTGACGCTAAATTCGACGCGGCCACTATGCATGGAATGCAGCGGACTGCTCTAACAAGGGCACAGGTGAATTTACTGCGCGCTGCTGATAACAAGACGAGACGAAAATGAAGGACCATTTTTTTATTATTTCCTGTTTGTTTCTTTCTACTTGTTGGAATGCGGCGGTTAAGTTGAAGGAAGGAAGGAGGGGAAGAAAAAAAAAGAAAATCCAATACAAAGAGAGGGAGGGATAGGCGAATAAAAACTAATGCGGGGACCCGTCCATCATAATTTCCTCATTGTAACTTCACCACACAACGGCTGGGGAAGGGGGGGGGGGTCGTAACGACGGTGGCACCATCGTCTTTACGGCACTTTTCTGTGGGCGCTTTCTTCATTATTAATGTTGTTGTTTCTTTGTGAATGAACCGCCTTTTTTATTTTTTACTATTTATTTATTTATGCATACATGCATGTTTGCGTTTTGGGTAACCGCAACGGATAATGGGGGAGTTATGGGAAGAGGGGGATGTATTAGTGCAGACAGGAGAGAAGACTTCTCAAAACAATAGAAAGACGACACACACAGAGAAGGTGCGGTTGTTGAGATCTGCTACAACAGCTGCTGCACATTATTATTAACGACGACGACAATGATGATGATGCGGCCTGACGCTGGAAGACGGGGAGATCGCCATGAGGTGACACGTAGTCAATGGGAGATGCATAACTCCGTCATCACGGATGACGCGTTTTTATTCCCCAAAATGGAGCTCATGGAGGAGCTGCACAAAACACAGCCGTGGAAGAAGTCACCGCGCTATTTCCAACGCGTGAAGGTTTCTGTTCTCGCGGCGCTGCAGATGATGATCCACGCGAAACGTGGAAGCCCCAACGTGACGTGCTCCAACGGCAGTGGCGTTGCTGACTCTTCTGCGGCATCCATGCGAAATGAGCCGAGCCGCGAGAATTGGTTTGAGGTGATGGTTCTCATGCTGGGCCACTTTAACGAGGATGAAATGATTGTCACGAGTGCCTTTGCTCTCCCAGTCGATGCCTCCGAGGTGGAGTGTTCCATGAATGACGCCTCCCAGTTGTACATGCTTGACTTCCTTCAGTACCATCAGCGCGGCGGGACGCAGGAAGGCTGCATCGGGTGGTACCACAGCCACCCTGGCTACACCTGTTTCCTTTCTGGCACAGATGTTAACACGCAGCAGCTTGGACAAACTGCACAAGACCCGTGGCTGGCTATTGTCGTTGACCCTGTGCGCACCATCTCGACTGGCAAGTTGGATATGAAGGCTTTTCGTACGTTTCCAGAGAAATACGTGGCAGAGCAACAGGGGACAAGTCAACACACACAAGGAAAGCATTGGGAAGGGTCCACGACATCTACGTGGGTGCCTTCTGAGCGTATCAGGGAGTACGGAGTACATGCACACCGCTACTATGAGCTGCCCATTACTCTCGTGCGTAGCAAAGACGATGAGGCACAATTGGAGTGTTTGTGGTCGCGTTACTGGGCACTGACATTCTGTTCCAACCTCTTCACTGCGAATCGAAAGCTCATGACAAAACAGATCCACCAATTGGCTGAAGTGCTTGAAAGTGGCGTGGCAAGTCGACATCAAACGATGATGAAGGGGGATGGGTATTTGCCTGGTCATAAATTAGGGAGTCAGCACCAACGTAAAGGCGGTGGTGCGGTGGATGACGAGACACCCGATGGTGTTGAAGCGTTTAAGCAAAGGAGCCTTCATGTGCGTTACTTGACGTCTTCTTTGACATCAGAGGCGGCGTCGGGGGGGAACACTGCTGGTGGTCAAAAATTCCGTCTTTCGAGCATGATTTTTCTTTTAGTTTTAGCGCGTGTATTTTTATCTTTTTAATAAAGGACTGAACTTGTTTTCACAAGAGAGCAAAATAAATAAATAAATAAAAGACATAAAATAAAAAATAAGAAATAAAAAATAAAATAAAATAAAAATAAAAAAAGGGGGATTTTCATATTTTTGTGTGTGTTTTCTAGAAGTCTCTACAGGACAGAGAAATAAACTAATTTGGTGCTGATATACTCACGGTTTCTGTAATGGATCTCACGTTGTTGAGAGGGACTCTGCTTTTTTTTCTTTTTTTTTTTTTTTTTTTTTTTTTTTTTTTTTGGGGGGTGGGGGGGGGGGGAATTATTGCTTGTATCATGATTCATGTATACACCCATTGTTTCCCCCTGCCGAAAAAAAAAAAAATATGCAATTAAAGTGATCAGGCCGTTTCTGTGTGTATTTTCATGCAAACGGCAACCATTCTTCAGCGTCTCTTGACGGAGGAAGGAGCATTCTTTCATCCCGTAATGCGGTTGGTATCTATTCCTTCCATGGGTGGTGGCTATGGGGTAGTGGCAGCAGAGTCATTGAAGCCCGGTACACTTCTCGCAAGGATACCGCGGCACTCAATGATCACGGCTAGCAAGGCCCGTCATTACCTGGCATCTTTCGAATACAAACAGAGGCAAGCTCTCTCTTGCAGCAATCGACCTTCTAACGAAGGTGCTTCTGTAACAGAATTGGAAGCTGTTGAACAAGAGCTTTCACAGGGCCTTTCCCCATCAAACACTATCATTTGCTATATTCTTTTGAATGCAGCTCAATGCGGTCGTTTTTCTACCCCTAATACTGAAAACAGCATGGATATGTCAGCGGATAGCAGCAGCAAGAGGGATAAAATATCTTTCCAAAGCGATCATGCGTGGATGAAGACATGGGTACTTTCGCTTCCTTCCCGTTACAATAATCTTCTCGAACTGCGTCCCGAAAAGGCTGATGAAGAATGCTATTCAAGTTATGAGGATACTGGGAAAATTATTTCCTCGTCTGATGCGTATCTCCGCCCTTACCTGCAGTTTGAGCGGCATCGTCATAAGGTTTTGCGAGAGCAGGCGAACGCTGAGGCGGAATTTCAATTATGCAAGTCAACACTCTCATTTTTTCAAACCATGCCACATTCTGACTGTGAAGAAAGATCAATGCCGATTACATTGGAACAATTTCTTTGGGCTTACAACACTCTGATGACCCGTGGCTTCGCATATTACTCAGAGGTTTGGAGCCTTATGCCTTGGGTAGATTACTTTAACTACGCCTTGAATAGCAATGCCACGATGAAGTACGATGAACGAAGAGGAGCCTACGTCTTTGAAGTCCTTTTTCCTATTGAGAGTGGGGAACAAATTTTTCTGCAATACGGCGCCTATACGGACATGGAGTTGCTGTTGTGGTACGGTTTTACCCTCACACCAGTTTTACTTCCTGAGGTCGCGAGTGCCCGTACAATAAAGGAAAGGAGCCAGAAGCTTCGGATGCTTTTGCGTGAAGGCCTGGAAATAATGGATGATGGGGACATTTCTTTTGCCCATCGTGATGAGGTGTGGCTGAAGGCAGTAAACAGGGCTTTGGGTTATTGTTTTTCGCCATGGACGGATGCGGATGGATCATATCCTTCTAATCTAAGTGAATCGTGGTTGGAACTTCTTCTTTCTTCATACATGAAGCTACATAATAAGTCTAGTGGTGACGGTGAAATATATCAATTTCCTCCTGCGGCGGAAGCAGCGAATGCCCTCGCCAGGCTCATTATAGGAACGAAAACGCAACACAAACTGCCACCTAGACTAACTGCTCGTGACTGTCGCCTTGGAGCACTAGGTCCATCTCCGTCGATGCTTCGCCTTCTGAAACACATTAGCCGCATTTCTTCCACTCCTAACGAAGGGACAAAATTAACTCTTGTTAACCTTCTGCGAGCCATTTGTTGGGCGGAGCTGTTTTGTAATTATGGTGCGGGGATGAAATTGTTTTTTCTAAAAAGTGAGACGATAGCATCGCCTGATGGTACCGTAAAGTCCATGGCGCTTCAGGCCTCGTTGGATGCTGCCTCGCTCCTGCACCTTTTGGCGGTGGAAGCGACAGAGGAGGAATTGCGTGTCTACCTTTCGAGGATGTGTGATTAGGCGGAGGTGAGGACCGCAGGCCGATTATACGTACAATGACTTTGGTGAATTAGGGTAAGAAGGAGGGGGGAAATGCATGAATTTTGATTTAATTTTATTTATTTATTTATTTTTCCTTCTTTTGTTGACGAAGACATTAACTGTCTAACTTCTTCTCGTATGAATGCCGCCTTCGCCGCTGATGTAGAGTGTAGCATGGCTGGGAGAAGTTGGTTGTATTTGACCATCTTTGGTTTCACATTTTGGTTACTTTTTTTTTTTCTTTGTATTGTTGAATTCCTCCTGGAGGGAAATGACAATAGAAGTGTAAGGCTCACATTCTTGAGTCCCGTATGTACACTAATACTACCAATATTGCTACTAATAATAATAATTTATTATCGTATTATGCAGCGTCCCTTCAAGGCGTCTGCATGTAGACAAACGAAGGACAGAGCCGAAACCTGTTAATAAGAAGAAAAGAAAAAACGGTACATAGATTCTGAAGAAGTGTTTTTTTTTTTTGTTGTTGTTGTTCTTGTATAAAAATATATATATATATTTATAATGGTGAGTCTACCGCATCTGTTTCTACGTGGCGGTTAAAAATTCAGGTTATAAATCTTGCTGTGTCGAAACAATTGACGTTGGAAGCCAGGGGTGTTTCTAAATGCATTGCCTATCTCTATGGGTCTGCAGGTTTTGTATGGTACTGTGCTCTCTAAGGAACGAAATATGGTTGTGTGATTAAAAGGAAAAAAAGTAGTCATGAAATGTTTACTGTCGTTGTTTGCTCTGCTAATTATCATGTACATTTTATTTTATTTTTAATTTTTCTCTCATGGATCGCACACGGACGTGAAGAAATGCCGGAGCCTGTCGTTTGTGCCACGCAAGAAACAGGTACCGATGGCAGCAACCAGGTCAATAAAAGTATTTGTTTTTTGGAGGTTTTTCTCTCCATGTATGCCTTGAGGTGCAAAGAGTTTGCCATAGAAATGAACCCCCGTGCGCTTCAGGCTGCCGTCGCGATGCAGGACGCTGTTGATATTGCGAAAAGGGATCTGTCTGATTCTGATACAACTACAAGAGGGGTTACGTACAAGCTCAACGGCGTACCTTTTGGTGTCAGTGGCTCGCAAGCACTTTTTCCAGCTTTTGCCTGTATGCCTCTTGTAAAGCTCGATCTCAATGACTGTTATTTGGGCGATGCAGGCACGCGCACCCTTGCAGAGGTGATGAGCACAAGTTCTCGCTGTGGGACTATGATACGTGACATTCATTTAAGTGGTGTGGGCATTGTTGATGCCTCTTCGTTGACGTGTGTTATGACTGCAGCACATCAACTAGAGTTGTTGGACGTGTCTCGCAACAGAATTGGTACACAACCGCACGGGTTAGCGGTGTTGTGTGCGTCGATGCACCACCACAAATCATTACGCGAGGTGAATTTGGGTGACAACCTGATAAGCGGTTCCTGCGTTGTAACTATACGGGCCATTGCTGAATGGGTGGTATGCGCTGGTCATGACGATGTTCTGCACCGCATTGATTTACGCTTTAACACACTAGGGATTCTTCGGGAATTTGGCGGTGTTGTCATTCCAAGCAGGACGAATTTAACACACTTTATATACGGTGCTCACCCGCTTGTGGATGCGCTTTTTTTAAACAACACATTGGAATATTTTGAACTTTATGGCAATGCTCTTTCCGCAGATGTAATCGACGTTCTGGAAGCCAAGTTGGCTGTCAACAGGCGTACGAAGAAGACCATTCAGAAGTCACATACACAACTGACATGTAATAAGGGCTGAGAGGCATTGAAGTACACACAGAAAATGAAGGTTGCACCAAGTTGAAGAAATTCATATGGACGAGGGCGTACACGTACGATCTTTCTCTCTCTTTCTCAATTTCTATTGGCACTCACTCCAGCAAACGTGGGGTTTTATGGCATTTGTAATGACGCTTGTTTCCTTTTCCTGTTCACGCATATAAACTTTCCTTTTTTTTTTATTTTTCTTTTTACGAAATTGAATCCTTTTCAGTGTCTCACGCACGTTCACGAGAAGACGGAAAAAAGAAATTAGAGGGGAGGAAACACCTCCATGAGGTCGAAATCCCATTCCACGCTGCCGCGGGCAAAATACACAGCTACCACGGCTGCCACAACTGTGACTTCGGGATTGCCGCCAAAGAAAGTAGCGGAGTTGGTTCGACAGCTGGCGGAGTCTCGGTATGAGGCGCAACAACTCCGCCAGCAGATTCAGTCGTTGCATCAAGAGAATGACTCATTTAGAGCTTCTATTTTGCATAGATATATTGATGGAAGTATCGCAGATGTCTCACTTCCCCAAAAGAAATTAAGCCAACAACGAGAACCAAGAAATCAACACCAGCAGCAACATGAAGGCGAAAGGCCGTGTGCGTTAAATGGAAAAGTAACTACTGCGAGAAATGGGGGTACTGTGGAGCATTCAGGTTTTATGGATCAGAAGATTACTTCCCCACAGAAGGCGCAAACGTCACTCCTACCGGAGTCAATTGGGATGCTATTGACGCCACCGTCCTCTTTTTTGAAAGCGGCTGACGAACCGTCTGTAAAGGGCGTGGAAAATTTAGAGAACCGCCATTCCTCTCTTGGGGATTCTTATTGGAGGAAGAAGTACGCCAAGCTGAAAAGGACTCACGAAAAGGCGCTTAGGGAGCGTGATTTACAGCTAGCGGAGGTACAACATCTTGTCTATCAGATTCACGAGGAGCATGATGAGCTGCGACATCGCCATGAGCGAGATTCTCTGCAACGACAACTGGAGATTGAGTCAAGGAGTCGGATGTCACTAGAGGAAAAGACGAAGTCCCTTGAAGAAGAGGTATTAGTGTGGCGACAGCGTTTTTTGCGTTTTGTAGGAGAGCCGGCACACATGCCGAATCATGTAGTGGCATCAGAAGTGGCGCCAACACTCGGCGATACTTGTGATGGCGGAAATTTCTCATCTCCTCCGGATGGCTTGAACCAGACAGATCGCTCCTTCGTGTGTCCAGAGAGTGCACTTGCTTCCATGATAGACGCTGATGCCTTTCCACAGGGTGCAAATGCCTTAAATAGCACTCGTTATGGCAACGCTCTGGAGAGAAAGAAGAATGATGTGGAGCATTCTTATTTGCAGCATTGGCGAAAAAAGAAGAGAGAAGATGTAAATACGTTTGACTCTCATGGAATTCAGAATACTTTTCTGCGGCCTTTTGCTAGAATGAGCAGGCACTCCGTTGCTGTCCAGGTGGGACCATCCACAGCAGCTGCAGCCTCTCAGACAGAGAAATGTAGTCAAAAGTCCGTAGGGACGTTAGTGGATTTTGGCATTCAAAACAACAACGCAAATCCGGGTCTGTTGCACTTTACGGGGGAAACAAAACTGACGCCGGATGCAAGAAAGAAAGTTTTGGCCACTTTTGATAGAAATATTGAAGATCTGCCAAAATCTCATTTTCAAGAAAAGTCAACGGGCTCGGTTTCATTCTTTACACCGGGGCCTTTTAATCAGAAGAGTCTGCAGGACCACGTGTATTACATGGTGAATCAGGTGCACGGGAGAGGCAGCCATCATCGAACATCTTCTGTGCCTTCATGCAGGCAGCCGGAGGAATTACATCCACCTTCTGCCTCTTTTGGTTTTCCTATGGCTTCCCCTTCTGCTTCTATGGCGGGACGTGGAATTTCTATTGACGGTAATCAGGCAAAACGAGATCGTCTTGAGGAAGATATTCGTAAACACGATCAACTTTTAGAAGCCGTAGCGAAACTGCAGCGACGAGCGCAGCGTTTTGCCAAGACACCGTCCATTTAAGGAGATGTGCACGTTTACATTGGGTTTTACCTTCAGTGGTATTTTAAATCGTTGTTGGTCTGTTTTTAATGTGCCATTGGTAATAGCTCTGCCCATGTACCTGACTGTATTTGTTAGTATTCTTTTTGTTGTTGTTGTTGTTACTTATTTTATGTCTTTGTTGTCGCTGCTGTTGTTTCTTGTTCTTTCTTTGAGATATGGGTGGGTGGGTGGGGGGATTGAGTGTGAAGGAGATTTGGTTATTATTATTATTTTTGTGTGTACATTTTATATCCTTTTCGATGCGACTGAATTTAATTTGGCTTAGGCGTATGAGCAGGACGATTAAATTATTTATTTATATATTTATTCATTTTCTTTGAGTTTTGTTGAATAGAATGTCGGAAATATTGGATATATGTATTTTGCATGCATGTCCGTACGTCCATACTTACACGTATGTGTCTATCTGTCTTGTATTGAGTTATGACATGGTTGCATTATGAAATACGGAGACTATTTATTGCGTTTAACCACGTGGTTGGTTAGATGTACGGATAAATGTGTTTAGTGCCTATTTCTATTGCTCTCATTTATTATTATTTTTATTATTATTGTGGATACTCCGTCTGTTTTAACTGCTTTACTTGTAGATCTTTAAATCTGCTTTATCTTTACCGGGACTTTTTTATAAATTTCTTTGATTAATTATATATATATATATATTAGTTTGTTATTTTATTCTTTTCGCTCCTGTTAGAGTTGGGTGCAATTATTCATGTCGACATCATTGCGGCTTCACCACCCAACAAACGCGGCGCCTTCGCATGCAATGGCTATGAAAGACATTGCCGTTCCACTTGACGGGAGTCAGAATTGCCACAACACTGTCGCGGAGACACACGATATGCTTGCGTACCCACAGATAGGTGGAGACGTTAATGCGTGCGGAGTACAAGACGTGGGTGAGGGCGACGATGGCGGTGTGCAATTTGGCGACTTTTTCTTTCAGAATATTCCACCAGAGGGAAGCGTTGATGCGGCGCAGTCCTCCGTGTTTGAGGGTTTTTGCTTCGATGACATCTGTGATGATGGCGCGTGGGCAGCCGGCGTCACAGCGATGGGAAACGCGCCTGAAGAGGATACGGAGAATCAAATTCATTTAAGTGCACCACAACCGTTTGAATTTCTTCTTCCAGAAGACGCCACCTCCACAAGTGGGACCGCAGCCGTGGCTGAAGGCACCGTAACAGAAAGTGCTTTTGACTTGGGCTTGGGGGTGGCGCACCCCACCCGCGGAATAGCGGATGTTCCCTCAGTCTCTGTTCCTGTTTCCACGGAAGTTCTACGGCGGTCTGCACCACGTGGAGGCGAACGA